CGGACCGGGGACCGGCAACGGGATCGCAGCCCTCGGTGTTGCTCCCGCGCCTCGCTCAGCCAGTGAGCAGGAACCGGTCTGTATGTGGGATCCGAACCCTCAGGTGGGAGCGCCGCCGCGCTTCCCAAGCGGCGCACTATCCAGTGCACCACCGGGCCGGCCCGATAGAATGTTTTATGCTTTTCTTTACCTGCGAGCCTCAGTTTAGACTGAACAATGTGACGGGGTGTGTAATTGCTCTTCAATAAACTTTTTACTTTATTTATAGATTCACAGAAAAGTCGTGACAATGGCACATGGAATTCCCATACACCCTATGCCCAGTGTCCCCTGCTGTTAACATCTTACATTAGCCTGGTGCATCTGTCACACGTACTGATACATTGTAACTGACTCTTGACCAGCACAGGTTTGAACTATGCAGATCCACTTACATGTAGATTTTTTCCAATAAAAACTGTTAATGTGTTTTCTCATCCTTAGGATTTTCTTAACATTTTCTTTTCTCTAGCTTACTTTATTGTGAGAATAGAGTATATAATACATATAACATACAAAACGTGTTAATCAACTGTTTATGTTATCGATCAACAGTAGGCTATTAGTAGTTGAGTTTTGGGGGAGTGAAAAGCTACATGTGGATTTCTGAGTGTGTGCAGGGCGGTGTCCCCAACCCCCACACTCTTCAGTTGTCATCTGGATTCTTCCCTAAGTCCCTACTGTTCATATTTCCATAGTTTTTCCTGATCGACCTTTTTTCTGTTCCAGGACACCACATTACATTTGCTTGTAGACTGTAATGTATATTTTTGACACAGATAAAACTATACGTTTCACGTGTCATTTCATTAAAATCAGCCACACTTAAATTCTTGTTTTATATTAAATGTTTTCCTCTTTTTAAACATCAAAAAATTAATAAGGAGCTTATATATCACCACTACCCTCTGATGCTACCAAAGACCCAGTAGCTTCACCTTGTCACATGGGTGTGTTTTCACAGTGAAAATCACCTGTGTCCAGTGGGAACAGTCAGGCAGCCGTGTCGTGCATGCGATGCTCTTGATTGACAAGTGGCATACCTGTTAGCATGTTACCAAAATGAAGGATGTGCAATTTGCCTGGAGTCATGTTTTCATTTCCAGAAGAAAAATACTTAAGTCCTGAGGTGTTGGGACAGACGAGTCTCCTCTCAGAATCTCTCCTCTCACAGGACTCAAGAGGCAACGTGGCCTTTCTGTCACTCTTGCAGCCATATCCAGAGCACTGACAAGGACAGGGCCATGCCTCAGTAAGCTTGTCAGCTGGTGGGGCAGAGGGTGCCACTCCTACAGAAAACCAGGTGGGCTTTGATGTCAAGGGCTGCTCAGGAGCGCACGTAGGAGATGTTGCTAGGCACTGGGACCATGGCCAGTCACCTGAACGGGGCTGGCAGGCATCACAAGGCAGGCCATGGGGTCGTGGGCAGGTCCTCTGCAGTGGGCATGTGGACCTGCTGGGTCTCTCCGCCATGAGCACCCGTCCCCTCCTGTTGTTCGGTCTTTGGGCCAACAGTCCTGGTTGCTCTGGCACCCTCAAGGGGTCTTCTCCCCACCCTTTAGCAGCTCAGGACTCTGGCAAATGTTCTGCACCTCCTGTTCGACTCGTGGAACCATATGCGTCCCCCGGTTTGGGCAGTGGTCTGGCCAGTGCAGGTTGAGCCAGGTGAGGTCCACGCTTGTCGATCGCAGGGCAGCGTGCTCCTCGCCAGCCTTCTCTCTTCTTTTTGTCACTACAGGCCATGAATTTTTAAAAACCTAATCGAATAAAAAGTAAAATCGATACTTGTTTGAAAGACCACATATTATATAAAATGTCCAAAATAGGTAAATCCATAGAGACAGAAAGCAGATTAGTGGTTTCCAGAGGCTGGGGCTGGGGAGGCGGGTGACTGCTGATGGGAACAAGGATTTTGGGGGGATGATGAAATGTCCTGGAATTTCACAGCAGTGATGGTTGCACAACATTGAGACTATACTAAAAACCGCTAAACTGTATGCTTTAAAACGGTGAATTTTATGGTGTGTGAGATATAATTCACACACCATAAAAAAAAATTGGTGCTTGTTCACTGTAGAGACATTTAAAAGAGAAATAAAAGACGAAATTTAAATGACCTATAATTCCGGAAAACTAATATAGGAACATTTTGTTGTGTGTGGCAGTTTTTGTTGTTGTTGTTTTCGTTTTGTGTTCGTTTTATTTTTTCTTTGGGTTATTCTTAAGCCTTTTTAGGCCCAGGAGAGCCCTACTGGGGTGCTGCTGTGTCTTCAGTGAGGACAGTCATTCTGAGCCTAAACTTTCTGTAGTGTGGGGAATGACATTTTAAAATTTCGAAATATAAACGGTGTCCTCATTTCTCAGGAAGTGATAACAGAGTCAAGTTTTGTCACAACTCAAGGCGTGGAGTGTAAGGGTCTGGGTGACTGGACTTCCTGAATTCGTATCCACCTTTCCACATCCAAGCCCCAAAGCTCGTGGGGTGCGGCGTCAGCCCGACAGACCTCTCGACACCTTACCCATGTTTCCAGATACGTGGATGATAGAGTCTTCTGCTCAGATACTGAAAATCAATTTTACCTGGGGTCAAACTTAGTGTATGTGCTGAGCAATGCAGCATGTTCAGTGAATCCAGCGTTGCGATGGCCACAGGCACTTTGCATGCACGGGGACTGCATCTGGTGAGGAGTAGAAGCAGCAGGTGGACCACCTCTGTCTCAGCTCCTGCAGGGAGTGTCCATGCTGAAGAAGCCTCCGCTTCTGTATTGGAAGCCGACTGCAAAGAGCTCGGATCGTTTCCATGGTGGGATTGGGCTAGTGGAGCTTATTTTTCTGCAGGGTGTATATTTTTTGGCTGTTTCACACCATTTGTCAATTTCTAAGCAGTTAATAAATTTTATGCCTCTTCCCGATGTGTGTATATAGTACAAGTGTGTTTGATTTTCATGTGGTCTCCCTACATTTAAACAGTGCTGAGTGATGGTATGCATAACATTCCAATTTAAATTTTCAAACCCAAACTGAGGTCTTTAATTCTTCAGCAGAAGTCTGCTGACTGCCCCGCATAGCTGTGCTTGCCCCGTTCTGTGGCATCTGGGGCCTGTGTCTAGGTTAACAACAGGACCGTGGCCCATTTAACCTACCATTGAGGAAGGTTAAAATATGTGCTCCTATAGACCCAGGGGAAACAGCACGATTGCACTGGGAGAGGCACGTGGTTTGGGGGGAGATTTAGGGAATAAAGATATTACTTCTGAGAGGTTGGGCAGGGACATTTCATGAACATCTTTCACTTTGGAGAGAGGTGACAGAAGGATGGACGTGAGGAGCCAGGCTCATGCAGGAGCAGGTGCACCCTGCTGGTGGGAGGCAGCTGAGTGCTGAGGACGCTGCAGGCTGGTGTGGGGACTTTGGCACCCGCGGGTCAGGGGCCGGTGGTGTGGGGAGGGTTTGCGTGCAGACAGGTGTTGTTCAGAGCAGTCCTGGAGCCTGCTTCTGTCTGAGCAGTGCTCGCACTCCTGTGTTAGACCTCAGCTTTCCCAAGCCGGGCCTCATCTTAAGAGGCGCCTGACGTGTCTGGGTGGTTCGTTAATTCTTGGCTCTCATCTCCTGACCAAGTGGGGTCACCCAATATTGAATTATAAAGGGCCTTTGATAGACTTTTTTCTTGCATTGTGGTAAATACACGTAACACAAGTCTTCCCATTTTCTCCATATTTAAGTGCACGGTTCCACAGCACTGAACACATTCATGTTGTTGTGCAGACGTCACCACACCCATCTCCAGGACTTTCTCATCTTCCCAGACCAAAACTCTGCCCCCACCAGGCCCTGGCACTCACCATTCTACTATGCCTATGATTTTGACAGCTCCAGGTACCTAATGTGAGTGGAATCACATGCTATTTATTCTTCTTTCACTTAGCATAGTGTCCTCAAGGTTCATCCCTTTGTAGCATGTGTCAGAGTTTCCTTCCTACTTAAGGCTGAATAATGTCCCGTTGTATGTGTATACCACTTTCTGATAGTACCTCGATGTCATAAACCCAGATCCATCTAGGAGACGTGTGCTGGAGTCACCGCTGATGTCACCATTGTTAAGCCCCCTGACCAGTCAGTGGGACGCGGTCAAAGCCCAGGTCCTGGTTAACATCTAAAAGCAAAAAGAGCAGCAAGGGGCTGGCTGGGCTGTGCAGAAGGCCGAGCGGAGCCCCGAGTCAGCCACACCTGCCCCACTCTCCCCCAGGGCTCAGGGACTTGGGACACGTCACTTTGTGTGGCGTTCGAGGCTGAGTGTTCAGTCCAGAGGGAACCACGTCTGTGCTTACCTTGGTGATGGGTGTGCCTGCGGTGGTTGCTCTGCTGACACAGCACGGGCTCTGAGAGGTGGCACTTGTGCGTGTCAGGGCAGGGACTGGATTGCCACGTTGTAAAGATGAGTGAGTTTCTCTTCTTTACAGTTGTGGGGCAGATACACATTGGCCGCTGCCAGTAGGTCTGGGGGCAGGGAGGAGAACGGGTTGCTTTAGAAATCCTCCAATTCTGAATGTGTCACCTAATCACCAGGGGCCTCAGTCTGGGGGCAGCCTGCTGAACCTGGCTGCAGAAGGGCTTGGTTCTGCCAACCAGTGCTTGAGTTCCTTTCTTTCTTTCGCCCGCTCATTCCTTCTCCCTGTCCTTTCTTCCAAAGCCCGCAGCTTCATTCACAAGTTTGCTGCGAAGCATTTGCATTGGTTCTACTTGCAATCAGCTTAAAGACCACTTTCGTGATTACGTCAAATCAGATACTCCCAAAGCCCTCTAGAAGTTACCATAGCATCTTATACCTCAGTCGAGTGTTTTCTACGGACAGTGGGCAGTTTCGCTAGAATACCGTTCTGAGTGTCTTTGCATTAAGAAGCAAATCAAAGACTCCTGAAGAGAAAACTTGGTTAATGTGTGTCCTGTGTTCTTTTTCCCAGGTGAGGTGGAGGTTCCAGATCCGAATGACGCTTTGGGACAGCTCGATGGACAGGACAGTCCGATTCCAACTCTGAAAGGTGAACTGGGAAGTGCAGGTACCCTTTTAGTTTCTTCAGAACATGACCTGGAGAGGCTCACAGTAAACTTGCCGCTCCGGGTTGGGGGCGCTTGTGGCCCAGTGCTGCCCCGTTGGTGGGCATGGTGGAATGCCCTCCTGAATTCCCAGGG